GATGGGTCATTTCAACTGAGTCAACACTGTTCCAATTCCAACTTTTGACACATTGCGCCCAAGCTCGAACATAACATGAAAATTGGGAAGTACAAGCACAAGGACACTATTAAGCTTTTCCTTGATGACATAGAAAGCTGCTTATGTTGCATCTATCCATTGGAGTTGCTCCTTACTCTTCATGTAGTCAGTGATGAGTGATCACAATTTTTGTCTCATTAACTCAAATACCTTCGCTGAATAACTCAAAGTCGAGGAAGATTAGATTTGGTTATATGAACCAACACTTCTTCAAATTGGCATAAAACTTCTCTATACTCAATACATCAAAGACTTCCTAGAGATGTTGCATGTATTTATTAGTACTCTAACTATATATATAAGGATAACATCAAAATATATAATGACAAATTTGCCTAGAAAAGGTAGTAACAACTGAGTCATTAATCACATAAATGTGGAAGGTACATTAAAAAGGCCAAAAGACACAACTAACCATTCATACAAGCTTTCTTTGGTTTTGAAGGTGGCCTTTCACTCATCTTCAAGTTTAAAGTGGATCTAATAGTAGCCACTATTCAGATCAACCTTGGAAAAGATCGTTGTTTGGCTTAATTGGTCTAACATTTCTTACAAGGATTGGAAAATGGTATTTGACTATGATATCCCTTGAGCAATGAGCTTTTGTTAAATGAAGAAATATTATCGATAATGTTGCTTTGGTGCAAGAACTGGTAGTTGACATTAACAAAAAGGTTATGGGTGAAAATGGATAGGTTTGCACTTTGGATAATAGTGGATTCAGCCAGTGCGAAAAACAATTGAGAATTGCTGGTTCCTTGTTTTATGGTGTTCCATTTTCTCTGCTACATCTACCAAAGGTTTGAGACAAGGTGATCCATTATCTCCCTGTTTGTTTATTCTTGCTGAAAAGGTGTTGAATAGGAACTTATCCAAATTGGGAATGGAGTTACAAGAGGCTGTTTACTCATAATGGATGCCCAATTGTCACTCATTGTCTTTATGTAGATGACACCATTTTTACTAGAGAATCAAAGAGAGTTCTAAATAAGGTAATGGACACCATCCACCGTTATGAGGAATGTTTGGGACAACTGGTTAATGTAAGAAAAAGCTATTTTTATTCACAATATTAAGGCTTCTCATATTCAAATCCAAGTGATTGAAATGACGACTAGATTCGGTCACAAAAAATTTCCTTTCACCTACCTTGGTATTCCCATTATGAAGGAAGGGTTAAATCAGTTTATTTTGGTGATATTGTTGAAAAGATAAATGATAGAATTGTTGGTTGGAAGGGGCAGCTAATTTTCCTCTTACGGCATGTTCTAAGTTCCTTTCCTATACATCTCTTAACAGTCATTAATACTGAAAGGTTGTTTGTTGGCTTTCTCTGGTTAGGATCCAATATGGAACGAAGACATAGATGGGTAAATTGGGAGAAGATTACATCTCCTCTTAAAGAAGGCGGCTTGCAAATCAAGCACCTTGAAGATCTAAACTTAGCTTTGAGATTGAAAGCTCTCCAAACTGTGCTTTTTGAAGATTCTCTTTGAGCTGAATTCTTTAAAGTAAAATATCTTAAGCTGTTAAGCATGGCCATTTAGAGGCTGGTCCTTTAATTGATTGATTTAATCGATAATTATGATGCCATAAATCTTGATTTACAAATTCAAGATGTTTTAACAGTTTCTGGAAATTGGCATCTTGAGGAAGTTACCCCAAATTTATCGCAACACTTGGTTTATGCTATTACCCACTTGGATATTTGCATTTCCAACAGAGTGGATACCATGTTTGGGTGCATAGGTCGGATGGGACTGTTCCCTTAAATAAGCATCAAATTCCCTTCGTACCGCAAAACCTCTGGTGGCTTGGAGCAAAATAATTTGGTGTAGTTCAGTAATTCAGTTCCCACTAAAATTTCTTTTTTCATATGGAAATTGTTGCAAGGTCATGTCTCTGATATTTAAAGCATGAGAATCCCCATTGCCTCAAAGTGTGAATGTTGTTAAATCTTCATCTGCTGAGAATGCTGACCATCTTTTGATCTAGGGCGTATTAGCTAGGAAAGTTTAGGGGTACGGAATCAATTCGTGAATTGCTTCTCAAATGGTTTCAACTTTCAACCTTCCTTACAACAAAGAAGCCTATGGACTATGGTTGTCAGCCTTATTGCTTGCTTTATTTGTTGGGAGTTATGGAAAGAGAGAAACTGGCGACAGAAGGTAGACTCAGATGTTCTCAGCAGGTTTGTTACTCTGTCCTGAAATGGTTGCATGAAAAATCTCATCTGAAGAAGTTCAGGGGTATACTAACCTTCGACCAGAAACTAGCTTTAAAGCAACCGATGCGGTTGTGTCTCCTCCTAATTAAGGGAATCTGAGAGTAGTTTGTCTAAACCCAATTTCTAATGGTTTTGTCAAATTAAATGTGGATGGTCCCTCTAGGGGCAATCCGGGACCCAGTGGGGGAGGTAGCATTGTAAGGGATGGATTTAACTCAGTAGTAGGATAGGGATACAATCATACAAATATTATGGTTGAAGCTCAAGCCTCGCTGGTAAGAGCCCTTGGTTTCTCAAAGGTGGTGGTAGAGATGGATTCACAACTTCTGTACAACATTGTTAATGGTATGGTTTCACTCCCATGGCGGCTGTGGTACTGGAATGCTTCTTTGTTAGAGTCCATTAGTGATTGTGAGTTTTAGTTTGTGCATACCTTCGGGGAGGCAAATCAGGTAGAGGATGCTCTGGCTAACTTGTGATACCCGCTAAAGCCGCTTATTTAATTGTGTTGATGATCTTTCCATACATGCGCAGAGATGGTTCCATAGTGATGGTCTACGAATTCCTTTTCTGCATCGTTACAGTGCATCAGACCTTTTTTTTTTTTTTGTAAATGAGATTTTTATGTAACTGATGGCCCTTGTATAGATTTTTCTGAAAGGGTAAGGTATTTGTGTCCCGCTTCTTAGGTTTTTCTGATATTTTAATGAGAAATTTCAGTGGCTACCGCCACCCGAGTAAATTTAGGGTTTAGGCTCAGTTTGAAAGAAGTATAAATATAAATTTGTACAATATAAATTCATATAAAATACATAGTTTTGCACCCTACAAATTTAGGGAGATTTTTCCAATGGACGGCTCTAATGGTTGTTGGGACCCGTAGATGTAAAGAAAATGTTTGGAATCAGTGCCATTTTTCTAGCACCATTTTTTGAGAAAACAATGCTGGTGCATTGACCTGCTATTTTCTTAGAAAAATGGATTTTCTTTTTTCTTTTTTTGGTTTGGGACTGTTGCTGCCAAATATCCGTTTCTCAACACCTGTTTTATCAAATCACACTTTTCTCCATTGCCCACTAATTATTTATTTCTTAATTAATTAATTAATTGTTTTATTACTTAAATTCTCTATATTCCAAGATCTAAAAAAGCCAAAAAAAAAGCAAATTTTCAAAGCTTAGAGCTCAGGATTTCTATGCTTTCATGAGATTAGAGTACAATGCTGCCGAACAGTCCCTAAGGCTCAGTTTGGAAAGAGTACAAATACAAATTTGTAGAGTACAAAATCTTACATTTTATATTATTTTGTATATATTTGTATTTGTACTCCTTCCAAACTGAGCCTAAGCAATCAATGTTTTCCTCAAGAATGCCAAAATCAAATTATCGATGTAACGTTTGAAGTGCTAGTAGTGACCTTAGCGCATCTATTAGATATTGGAAAACTATAAAATCACAATTTTAGTTATTGTGGTGATAAGGAGATTAGTTAGTCAGGTCAGCCGGCAAACTTTCCCAGGTAACCCAGGCCATGCACGTGGCAAGATGATAGGCCTAAAACAACCACGTTTCCTCTTCTAAAAAATCTCTGTTTACCGGGAAATTTTCCAACTTAAAAACTGAAAATATTTTGTGTCCACAATAAATTCTTCCTTGGTCTGGGTATAAGAAAGGTTAAAAGATTCAATTTGGTTTTATTAGGAAGATGGTTCTGGTGTTTCAATTCAGAATCTAATGGGTAGTGGAGAAGATTATTAGTTGAAAAGTACGGCTACATGAAAATGGCTGGGACGCAAACACCACCTTTGCAACCTTAGGGCTGCATTGCATGGAGAGGGATTTTCAAGGCTTACCCTCACCTTTCGAAAGGCATCAGATACCAGCTTGGTAATGGTAACAAGCTTAAGTTGGACAGATCCATAGTGTGACGAAAGGCCTCTCTTAGATTGCTAGCAATAGAGATGCATTGGTGGAAGACTATTGTAGTTTGGTAGGTGGTACTATTATTTGGTCCCCTGATTTCAGAAGGAACTTCAATGCCTAGGAGCTGCACCTAGTTTCAGACCACTTCCAGATGCTGGAAATGGTCTAAATCTGGCTTGGTTTCTGTTAAATCTTGCTAGAAGGGGTTGGATATGGCTGTGGCTTTTCCTTTTCCTAACAAAACAATATGGAGGTCTGCTGCAAGCCTCACGCCTGCACCCTCAAAGATTAGGTTTTTTACTTGACGGGTAGTTTGGGAGAGAGATATTTCTAAGCATGTTCAGGCTTTCTTACAGGGATGGAAGTAACTGGAAYGGGCAGGAAAGGAAGTCTGTTTTGGTCTAATATTCCATTGGCAGTTTTATGGTTTGTATGGCTGAAAAGTATTTCTCGGGTTTTTGAGCAGAAAATAGCTCAAAAGAGTGATTAATGGGGCATTATTGAGGCTCTAAATCAGTGGATATCAAATACAGCTCATTCAAGGAGAATGAATTTTCTTCTTCATTTTTGGCTTTTAACTTTTTTGAGGACACTAGAATACTTTGGGTTGTACAGCTTCTCATTGTACATTGACATTTTTGATATTTGAATACATTATTTCTTTACCTTTTTCAAAAAACAAGAATGTCTCAATGGAGAGTACTTTTAAAGGCTGTCACTCGTGTAGCTCATATGAAATGATAGGAAGTATTCCCTGACTGAATATGCCTTTACATGGAATTGAAAAGATCACATAGCAATATTCAGAAAACAGTACAGCATCCTCACTATCTGACTCCATCATGGGGTGGAAAATAAACCAAAATATTCACAGTTTGACATCAGCTGAGCATGGTCCTTAATGGATTCATAAGTCTGGGAAGGTTAATGTCCTCCCTATTAAAAGAATAAAAGATTCATACAGGAACATTGGCATTGTTGGATAAGCATGACTAGACTATATTCCGATCTTTCTATAAGCTTATCCCAAGGACCATTTATTCATGTATTGATATGTCTGATTCTATGACAGCTTTACAACAAATTTTACATCCTGAGCCACATCCATGAAAGCAGTGACTGAAGCATTACAAGATGTAGGTTTGATATTTATGAAGTTTGATGTCTATCAATTGCGCTTCTACACTTTATGCAACAATCTGAAGCTTCTCCTCCTCCTCCTCAAGTCTTTTCAACCATTGCAATCCAAGACCACATCCAGCCTTTGCAGCTATTTCGAACTGCTTCCTTGCCATCTCTACTGGGTCCTCCATGGGGCTTTCCACATGTTGTTTTGCTTTTTTAGTAGAGATACCCCCTCTTGAATTAAATTTTGTTAGGGCTACTGGGATTTTAGCACCTGCATCATGTAAATGTGCCATTCGGAAATATCACAATCTTATGACAAGAACAATATATAGTTTTTTTTTATAGTAAACAATATATAGTTGAAACCCAAGAATCTGAGACCACAGACCAACGTGCTGGATGGTACTAACCATCCAATTTATAAATTCATTGAAAACCACTTGGCATACAGTTTCTGGCCATTCAAATGAAAATGACTCAACTTGCTCCTTAGAACAATTTTTAGCCTATGTTATCTGTATCATTGTCCAGTAAATAGTAGCCTATGAAGGGTTTGCTTGTATCCAGAAAATTTGTCTAGCAAATAGATTTATGCAAGCCAGCAATCTTTCACATGGCAATTAGCAGCCCAAGTACTCCACGTGTTTGACATTTCACACTCCTATTGTGGTCAGTTTCATTCCAGTAGCACCTGATACACAACAAAAGAAAACCAATTTCTGGCATTTATTTTAACTGTAACCCTGAGACTTCAAGGTTGGCACTACAAGGGAAAGTATCCGGTACACAGAATTATGGACGGACACAGATGTGGAGATGTTTTCTCCGTCAACTTTTGCTTGCCCAACAATAAGAGGGAGCAGTATGTGGAGATGTTTCAGAGCAGCCACCTTATGGACAATTTGGGAAGAAAGAAATGCCAGAATTTTCCAAGATAAGGAGAGATCCTTTACAGAGTGAAGGATTGTATTTTAACTAGGACTATTCATTGGCTAAAATCCTTGGCTTATTTCAAATCTCTCTTTTGATGGCATTTGGAGGAATTGGGCTGCAGTRACACACACTTCAGTTGGGAAAAACAGAGCTGTAACAGTTTAGGTAACTCCTCCGGAAGGGGTAATTAAATTGAATTTTGACGGAAGTATTCAAAGTAAATCAGGACCATCTCGCATAGGAGTGGTCCTGAGGAATGAGAATGGCAACATCATATCTTTATTCTCAGGCCCAGTGGGGATAGGGGATTCCACAAGAGCTGAGTTGTTGGATGCAGTACAAGGGATTCAGATCGCTAAGTAACTAGGAGTGGTGAACTTATTAATTGAAGGGGATTCTAAAGTGATTGTGGGCAGGCTGTCAAATCCAGACTCAGTTGTTTGGAGATATAGGGATCTCACAAAAAAAAATTAAATGCTTAACAAGACACGTAACGTGTAGATTCCAGAGGGTGGATAGGGAGGCAAATCCCTTTGCTGATTCCCTTGCTAAACAGGGGTCCTCTAGGGATAAGCCATTTTGGGCAGCTTTGTAATCTTTATTTCCGATTGCTTGTAATGCTTAGGGGAGGCTCAAGGCTGCATCTTGTGCCTCTTCAAGGGATGCCTGTAAAGCTTTATTCTTCTTGTTTAATGAAATTATTTTTCAATTATCAAAGAAAAAAACATGGATGGACATAGATCAAATAATCAGTTCAGAGGGTCTACTATCTATGGTACATGGATGGACATAGCAGTGATTTAAAAGGCGCACAGGCAAGGCGCATCTTTGGGTAGGTGCCTCACCCATGCCCTAGGTGCAGAACTTTCAAAAGGTGCACGCCTGATGCACCTTGCGCCTTGGCCCAAGAGTGCGCCTTTTGAAAATTGTATGCTTTTTTGCTTTTTTTTGAACCTAGTGACTGGGCCAGGGGCTCCGAAAACCCCCTATTTGCTAATGTTGTTCATTCATTCATCTTAATAAAATATCTTCTTAAAAGGCAAATAAAATTATAAAATCATTAATTTTGTATGAGAATTAAGGATTTAAGACCCTAATATGGACTGGTTTGGGCTTGCCTCGAGGAGGCATGGCACAAAGGCGACTCATAGAATTAGGAATGTAATATGTTTTACATCACATTAGCTACTTGAAGTAATGCAATTGAAGAAAAAAGAGATTGTGGACTGTACATGCTTGAAAATGTTTTATATGTTTGATTTTATTTTTAAATTTTCATTTGAATATGCTTTACATGTTATGTTTATGTATTTTAATTTTAGATAATAGGTTTTTAAAATCATTAATTTTAAAAATTAAGTATATATTTCTTATTAATATTATGTTTAATATTTTTAATTTTTTGCATTTTTTGACTTTTTATTTTTTAGCATTTTTTTGTTTTTTTTTTGAGCCTTGCTTCAAAACACCTTGTGCCTCTCGCCTCGGGCACAAATTGGCCCTTGCGCCTTGCGCTTTTAAAACATTGGGGCATAGATCAAATAGTCAGTTCAGAGGGTCTACTATCTATGGTTGGTCTTGGATTAAAAACATGTAATTGTTCGATAAAGCATTATACAACTGACATGAGTGATGCTGATCAGATGGTCAATCATAGGGCCTCCTATCCTATGGCTGGTTTGGACTGCAATTGTTCAACATGGCTAACTGACTTGGATGGATGCTGACCAGATGGTCAATCCAGAAAGTTTCCCATATAATGGATGGTCTTGGCCTAGACATGCAATTGTTTGGTGTGGCTAAAAAGGAAGATGCCATCCAGGCAAAGTGGTGTAGGAGCATGAAGGACAACACAGCCGTAGTATGTAGTAGCACTTTTTACGGGTTACTGTAGCAGATAGCTAAGGGGTCTTTTGTTATTTCCGTTTTCTATGAGGGTCTTTTTCTAAATTCATTAGCTTAAATGTTTTGTTGCCTTTTGTTGTTAGTTTGTGGCTTGGACTGCAAGTTTCTTTAATACGACTTGCAAGGCAAGATTCTTGTTTATTAGCCTATATAAAGAAAAAGGGCATATTTGTGAAGTATATTTTGGCTTATTTTCAATCCATATTATCAAATTGAAAGGGCTTGATAAGCCCTTTCAATCTGTTCCTTGTTTTGACCATCTTCACTCTCTAAATCTATCTCACCCTACTTTCCCTACATCAGTCAAGTGCAAGCACTGCAAAAGTAGCAACGTGCGGAGGCCCAAATGGAGGTACCAGAGGGCAACCATTAGCCTGCTAGTGTCCGGAATGTGACCAGGAGGAATATGAAGGATCCAACTATCAGAGGCTATTAATCCTTTTTCATAATCTTCAAGGGAGAGATGAACCAGGTCATGGGAGTTTAGAGGAAAGACTGGTAAGTGCTTTGGACTTGAATATGAGAGGAGTAAGTAGAAGTGCCTGAATTTTATGGGTTGTCAAGTGCTAAGGATTATTTGGATTGGGAGACAACTGTTGAATAATCAGATCGTGGGAAGACATGAAGAGGAAGATGAGGAAACAGTTCTGCCTGCTGATTATTAAAGGGACATGTACCGCTGCTTCCATGAAGGTATGGATAGAAGCGAGAAAGGAAAAGAAGTTTTCAGACCAGCAATTGGTCATGCAGGTGCTGGACCATCCAAGGATGTTAGGATGCCCTCAATACACTGTTTTACATGTGGGGAAAGGGGACACACCTCTTACGCATGTCCGCAGCAAAGAGTTAAACTTGTTGAAAGAGACAATGAAGAAAATAAGCTTGTGGAGCCAGTGTATGATGACTATGAAGATGAAGAGGAAGGAGTGGCTGTATTTCCTTCCCAATGTGAGAGTTTGGTGGTGAGAAGGGTGCTAACATCCCCCAAGAGTGAAGAAGAGGAGGATTGGTGTTGTTGAAGCATATTCCATACACGTGTCACTTGTGGCAGAAAGGTGAGAAATCTGATTTTGGATGGAAGGAGTAATGCAAATATCTCCAAGGATGTTGCACAAAAGCTACTGCTAACTACAGAGAAACATCAACAACCTTACAAGGTCTCTTGGTTTCAAAAAGATATGTAGTTTCCTATTACTTCACGTTGCCTTGTAAGATTTACTTTCGGCAATAAATATGATGATGAAGCATGGTGTGATGTGGCTCCTATGGATGTTTTTTTTTTTTTGATAAATGGCTCCTATGGATGTTTGTCATATACTTTTGGGAAGACCTTAGTTATATGATCACAAAATGGAGAATCATACGGAAGCCAATACTTGCACTTGAAGGATGGGAAGAAGATCACTTTACATACTATGAAGGAGGAAGCTACAAATCCTTCTAAGGACTGCAAGGTTGCAGGTTACCTTTCAGCCTGTAAATTTGAGGAGGAATGAAAGAAGTTAGGTGTGATGTATATGCTGGTTGGTAGGAGTTCTATGGCAAATCAGTTGGAAGAGTTGATAAAAATCCCCAAGGAAGTGCAGCCATTACTACAACAATTTGATGAGCTTGTTAAAGGGGAGTTATCAAGGGGTCTACCTCCATTATGCAATGTGCAACATGCTATGGATTTAGTACTGGATGCAGCATTGCCAAATCTTCCTGCCTATTGCATACCACCCTGCTCATAGGGCTGAACCCTGAAGTGAAGAGAAAAGTGAAAGACCTGATTGCAAAGAGGTTGATTCACAAAAGCAAAAGCCCATGTGCAATCCCAACATTGCTTACACCAAAGAAGGCCTCATGGAGGATGTGTGTGGACAACGCGTAATCAACAAAATCACTGTGAAGACTGGTTTCCCATTCCCAGATTAGATGATATGTTGGATCAGATGTAGAGGTCAAGAATTTTATCCAACCAGATCCTGAAAAGGTGAAGGCTTATTGAATGGCCTAACCACAATCTCTTGGAGATATACATAGTTTCCATGGATTGGTCTCTTTCTATAGGAGGTTTATTTGAAATTTYAGCAACATTAAGAACCCCATTACTCAAGCAGAGAATACTAAAAGTTCCTGTCCTCGTATTACTAGATTTTGAAAAAGTCTTTGTTGTGGAATGTGATGCTTCTCACGTAGGAATTGGTACGATCAGCCAAGAGGGCAGATCAATAGCTTATTTTAGTGAGAAGTTATCAAAATGTAAGACAAGATACTCTACATATGACTTGGAGTTCTATGCTTTGGTAAGAGCTTTACAGCATTGGTGGCACCTATTACACCAAGAGTTTGTGGTGTATTCTGGTAATCAGGCCCTTAGATATCAAAGTTGAAGCTCATTCCTAAAAATGCCAAGTGGAGTTTCTTATCTGCAAGATTTCTCTCTCTTTGAGGCACAAGTTAGGTAAATAAAATGTGGTAGCTGATGCTTTGAGCTGAAGATCTGTTCTGTTGTCAAGTTTGAAGGCACAAGTAGTTGGATTTGAAGAATTGATAACACAATACAGCAATAATACTTTTTTCAGCCGCATATTGAAGGAATTGGATGAACCAACCAGCAGGAAGGATTCTCCATTTGTTATGGTTGAAGATTATTTATTTAAGGAAAATCAACTATGCATTGCCATAGGGTCACTATGAGAATAAATCATAAGAGAGATGCATGGAGGAGGGTTAGGAGGTCAATAGAGATAAGACTATGGCTATGGTGACTGATCGCTATTTCTGGCCACATATGTACCGAGACTTGGAAAGATTAGTGAGATGTTGAGCTTGTCAATTGGCTAAAGGACAATCACAAAATACAGGTCTGTACATGCCGCTACTAGTGCCGGAATCACCAATGGCTACATCTAAGCATGGATTTTGTGTTAGGATTGCTGAAGACAGAAAGGAGGCATGACTTGGTTTTTGTTGTAGTTGATCAATTTTTGAAGATGGCACACTTTATCCCATGTTCTAAGACAATTGATGCTACTCATGTAGCAGATTTGTTCTTCAATGAAGTTGTGGGTAGAGATGATCATGGGCCAGGCTGGGCTGGGCTATGCACTTATGATAAGGTTATAGCCAAGGCCCACGCCCGGGGTTCCAGGCCTGAAACATAAGCCCAACCCTAAGCCTACACAGACCTGGGCCGGGCTGGGCCTAATTCTGGGCCTGTCTTTTATATAAAATATTACACATATAATATTTTATAATAGATGGCATATGACATGCATATAAATTTGCTTCATATATTATATATTATAAGATATTATATATAATATAAATTATACATGTCATATTATAATATTTTTATATAAAATATATAATATAATATAACACATGTACATATATATATATATATACATTATACATAAAATGTGTATGTTTAAATATATGTGGGGCTGCACTGGGCCCAGGCCAGGCTTGAAGTATTAGGCCCGGGCCGGGCCTAAACACAAAACCAGGCCCAAGCCCAGAATTTCTGGGCCAGGCCGGGCCGACCTAAAATGATTACCCCTAGTTGTGTGCAATTGCATGGGATGCCAACGTCTATAGTTTCTGACCATGATGTGAAGTTTGTTTGTCACTTTTGGAGATCACTTTGGATGCATTTGGGAATTCAATTGAAATAGTCCAGCATGTGCCATCCCCAAACTGATAGGCAAGCAGAGATTGTTAACAGAAGTTTGGATAATATGCTAAGGAGTATTGTGGGATAACATGTGAAGATATGGGATCAGGTCCTCCACCAAGCTGAGTTTGCTTATAATAACTCAGTTAATTGTACCATTAAGATGATACTGTTTGAGGCTGCCTATGGGTATAAACCACAAGTCACAACATGTTTTGGATCTTGTTCCATTACCGCAAGAGGCTCGGGTGAGTGAAGATGGCGAGGCTTTTGATGAACACACAAAGAAGATTCACAAGCAGGTGCATGAATCCATAAAGTAGACCAATGAGCTCTATAAAGAAGCTGTTGACTCTCATAATTGCTTAAAGGAGTTTTTTAAGAGGGAGATACAGTATTGGTGTATCTGAGAAAAGAAAGATTTCAAAGGGGAAAATACAGCAAGTTGAATTCGAAGAAGTTTGGGCCATCCAAAATACTGAAGAAGATCAGCAATAATGCCTACGTTATAGATCAACTAGATCACTTGCAAATCAGTCCAATCTTTAATGTAGCACATTTGTCTTCTTATGAAGGATTTGATGGAGATGAAGTTGTAGTATCTGGACTAGAGCAGCTGCCAAAGAAACCACTTGAAATTATTGAAGACATCCTAGGTGTTAAGGAGGTTCAATCCCATTGGGGAAATCGGTACCAGAGGGTCTTGTTGAAATGGCTAGGAAAGCCAGCAACAGAGATCACATGGTTCGCCCTGTAGTAGCACTATTCACAGGTTACTGTAGCAGATTGTAGGGGGTCAAGCTTATTGGTTATTAGCCTATATAAAGAAAAAGGGCAGATCTGTAAAGGGRCTTTTGGCTCTTTTTTTAATCCATATTATCAAAATGAAAGGCTTGTTTATCTCTTCCCCTATTCTCCCTGGCATTACAAAGGATGAATGACCAACCTAGAGAACTTCTCTACATCATCATTAGACAAGGTTTTCATAAGCTCCCAAAGAAGCAGATTACAATATATAGCTAAAAGGGAAGCCGGACACCAAGAAAAACCTGATTAAGAGAAAATGTTGAGGAGAGCTTATGACCCTGTAGAAATTGAAAATAAGAAAAAATTGATAAAGTGGATAGATCACAAGTTGGAAATTACTTACCTTGTAAAAGCAGTGATCCATATGCTATTGCTGCACCAGCATGCCCCTGAAAACAGATTGAAGAAAAAGTTAATATAGCTTCCATAATAATGCACACCACTTGAGAACTAATCCAAATGACTTTATTCCTAAATTAATTCTTTAACATATTTTATTAAGAGACCAGCATCCATATAAATCAAGTTTAAATTGCTGAATTTTAAGAACAGACTAACAAAAGTAAAGAACAACACAAGTGGCTATATGTTGGCGGTGTGAATTACCTCCTGGCATCTCCCAGGCAATCTCATATGTCCAAATCTGTCTTATTGAATTACTTGTGAACCTCAGAGTAGTGCTTTTTCTTTTTATCGAAATACATTTATTTTTCTTACCAGCCAAAAGAATGCAATATGTGGTAATAAAGATCAGTTGACCAAGTTGATATATAGTTCAAGACTTCAAGATATGCTAAAGAAGAACCATTAAATACTTTGAGAAAGAGCAAGTTCAATATACAATGCTATGTGATATATAGACTTATTGTGCACTTGCCAGCAAGTGTGTCAAACCTTTTTCTAAGAGAAAAAAGAAAAGCAAATTTGAGAGCAAAAAATCAGAAGATGCATCAAAATGGCCTTGTCCCACTTGAAAGTGTCAATTGAACATGCATCAAACTTTTTTCTAACAACCTCAGTCTGCAAGCAAATCTAGTAACTCAAGTGGAAAGCTAAGCTATCTTCTTGTAGCCCACCAAAATAATGGTCATTTGTGCCCAAGCCTCCTCAAGTAATTCTCTATCTTCCACTACAAAATTGCCATCAGATGCCTCCAGTTCAATAATATATATTATAGTACATAAAGCATCTTAATAAGTCAATCAATTTCCACAAAAATGGTCATGCCAAAAGGCCTATAGAAATATTGCATTCGGTTAATTACGTATTGCTTGTATTTCAATGAAATATCTTCAACTTGCTCAGGTTGTAGTTACTTTGTACATTTAGTCATAGTGATGGTAATAGTAATGATAATAAAGCTTTATGTTTGAATTCAGTTGTTTAACTGCAGAACAATTAACATTAGCATAGCCACTATTACCTTCTCTGATGCTCTATGAAAACACCACAATGCAGAAGCAATATCTTTCTTTACACAGTCCCCTGTCAAATATACAGCACCTAGAAGGTACAACGCACCTGGATGCAACTAGAACAAAGCAAACTCCAGTGAACAATAAGATCGAAATATTATGCATGTGAAATGCAGTCTCCATCAATAACATAAACATATAGTGCATGGAAAATATACCTGGTCAACAGCTTTCTCCAGATAATAGAAAGCCTGTTGATCTGATTGAACATTCTCATTCTATCCTCCAAAATCCCAAAACAGGATCAAAGAACAACATAATGGCATCAGTCATAATTACAAAAGGCATCTGATTCACCAACATAATTAGGAACCAAAAATAGAACACATGCTGATTATCTAAACATAACAAACATGCAAACTACATACTTTTGTACCAACAAATCCAAATTAAGAAATCTAAGCTCAAAGCCATGTGAGATTGATCTATGCAAGGAAAAGAACAGCATAGAAAAACACAACATTATTGTGAAGATGTAAACCATTAGGCTTATAGTCCAAAAAAACATAAAAGAATATTAAACTATCAAGGGTGTCAATTCTCAATTCATTTTCCTTTTTTCCATTATGAAGTTTTTTTCTGCTATCAAAAAAGGGGTGTCAATTCTTGATACAATGACAAGATGGAACACGATCCTGCCTACCAGATTTATGGTGTTTGTTCTAGACTGGTTAAACACTTTTCTGACCTAGTAACCAAGGCCACAAAGGGAAGAAAACCTCATGGATAAGCATTGATGATGATGGCAAAGCAAAGTAATGTTTCCATGTATTAAATGTTAGAAAAGAAATCTAGATGTCACACTGGATATGGGATGATATAAGAATTATCAAGGATGATTAAATTTAGAATTGATTTTTCCAAATGATTTCCCTGAAATATTGAATGAAACCTAAGAAAATCTCCCGGTAGGACAAGAAATTTTTGAATCCAATCTTCTTCTCCTCTTTACCATTTTCCTCTGTGCTACATTGCTACTTCTATCTTCTTATTTCTTTTATTGTTGTTGTTGTTGATGATGATGATGTTATTGTTATAAAAGCCAAAAGTAGGTATGCAATATAACCCCTCCACCAAAACATTAGACCAACTACAACAAAGCTTTCTGCAATCTGCAATTCAGCATCTCAATCAACTGAGCAGTTGAAAATAAAGGGTCTGGTCAAAAGGACCATCAAACAGCACTATTTCTACCATCTTAAATAGAGAGTCAAGAGAGGACTCTTCCTACATCACAGAATCCAGGGAGAGGGGGGATCTGAAAGAGCCAACAAAAGAAAAAGGGAAGTGCAAGAACAAACGAGAAAAAAATGGTGCACTCGCACTTCAGTAAATTTGGAGAGAGACAATAGTCATGGAACTGCAATTCCCCATTATTCAGATTATCCAGGGTAAGCACCTTATCAAGAAAACTAACCACATGAATTCCTCAACAGCACGGACTTGTCTACTCCAAATACGACCAGAATAAGCCATTTTCCATCCTTTATTCTCCTAAAAAGGATAATGTGAAGGACTTGAGTGTGAACTTCCCTTTAGATACTTCTGAAATATCTCATCCCTTAGGTCTAGCCTAATGTTCACATCCTTAAGTTTTTGGGTAAGGAGTATGCACTTCTTAATTCTTTTACTTTTTCCATGTTTTCTCTTTTCTCTTTCCTTAGTTCACATATATAATTTATTCTAAATCTTTTCTTATTACCTACCCTGCAAATCTGAACGAAACCCCAAAATTCAAAAGAAAATCAATGTGGTTGTTGGAGTCATTTAAATATTCCCATGCATAATTGCATACAAATGATCAGCCTAGCCTGCAGTGAAGTGATGGTTAGTTATGATGATCTATAAGGTAAAAAGGCAATGTTAAAATTTCTGCCAATTTTACTCCAGAAGCAATAGATAAGGCCAACTTTTGAAAGTAGAGGTTGATGTTAAAAATGTAAAAGTAAAATCAAACATGACATATAAAACATATTCAAGCATGTCAAACTTTCAATCTGTTTATTTGTTTCCCAATTACATTACTTTAGGTAGCTAATGTGATGTTAAATAACTTGTATTCCTAAATCTAAGATCATCCCTCCACCTCTGTAAAGGATCCTTGAGGCAAGCCCAAACAAATCCATGCGGGGATCCTAAATTTTTGGCTTATATATAAAGAGATTAGTTTTGTGATTTTAGTTGCAGTTCATTATATTTTATGATTAAAAATTAAATGTTGTTTGATGAAGAATGCCTTGTACCAAGAAGGATGAGAAAACAACAGATGAGAGGGTACTATATAGGCCAAAAATTTAGGACTCTCTTATGGACCTTTTGGGCCTGCCTCATGGGGCTTGGTTGGGGTCCAGGAGCAAAGAACCAGGCCCAGCCACTATGTAAACAAAGGTGCAAGCCTGGGCTGAGGCTCAAGGTGCATGCCTTTTCCAAGAGGCTGCTCCTAGGTTGGGGCAAGGCATATGTGCATACCTTGAAATGCACGTCTTTATGCACCTAGGCACACCTGAGGCATGCCTTTTAAATCACTGTACATGCAATTTCAAAGAAAACATATATTTCAAAGGCCAGTCTCGGCCAAAGTCTTGGGAGGGGTAGACTGGATATGGGCCTAAACTTTGACACTTTTGCACAAAGTAAATGCTCTCAGATTTGAACAAATCCTCTCACACTTTCCAGCCTGAGGTTTTACCATTCTACCAAGCAATGGCCCATGCAAAGAAATTAGGGAGAGGTAAACTCATTTTTCCTTACTTTTTGTCAATAAAAGAGAATTTTCATTAATAAAAAAGAGTACAAAGAAATTAGGGAGAGGTAAACTCATTTTTCCTGACTTTTAACTATTAAATGAATGATTCAAGGGAACACTTGATTCAACTTTTTTTAGAATTAGAAAGAAATAAAAAAACACCAGAAAAAGGTAACTAAGCCAAAGCAGAATTAACACTGTAATGGAATGGAAGAGTCTATACGTGTGCTTGATCTTGCAAATCCTCTTTTACCCATGAAATATGTTTTTTTTTCCCAACTAAGGTGGAATTGAGAATGAGATGTTCATAAAGAAGTTAGGCCCCATACATTTTCTGATGATGTAAAAAATCCTCAAAGGGCTTTTCTTACACATGAAGGGCCAACCAATCACATTACTTAAATCTCTTAAACTTCCAATTCCAGCCCTTGAGATAAAATTTTGGATTCATTGAGGTCATACTCCAACATATTTCCATTTCCGTGGTAGTGACATGAAGTTTTACTAGAATCGACATATTCCCCAATGAACACTACCAGCACTATGTGGAGTACAATAGATAGTATTATAATATAACTTGGTGAAAATATTGTAGATATCTAGAGTAGCAATGTTATTACCTGCCTAGCAATGTGATTATCCACCTGATGTACATGATAACCACTTCGATCCAGCTCGATATTCATTTCGAGTATAAAGTTAAATATTGGTTTCTGTTTGTGTAATAGATTATTTGGTTGATCTACTAGAATCATTTGCATTTTCTATGAGTTAAACTTTTGCTTGACTTACAGGAATTAGAATAGTGAGAAACCTGGGTTTTCAGAGCTTAACCATTGCAGGCAACTCAGCAAATACCATAAACTGGCTAAGGGACAAGGAGGGTGGCCCATGGAGATTGAGCCATTTTCTGGCAGAAGCTAGGGACTCTCTGAAGTGCTTAAATGCAAACTTGACCGGGATTCCAAGGGAGCTAAATCCCATTACAGATGGCCTAGCCAAATTTGGTGCTTTTTGGATGTATTATATAGTGATAGGCTGCTCCCTGTGTAAGATTTTGGGGATTTCCATGTTTGTTGTACATCTTCTCATGTACCACCTCTTTATCTAATGAAACTCTTGTTACTTTTTGTCAAAAAAATGCTTGAACTAATTTTATCATGTAGTTGTGAATCTTAAGGTTTACAGGACAACATCACAGCATATTATTTTGTCTATAACCTTAGTTTCTTAGTTTTGTTTAATGATTTGGAACAAGATGATGAATTAAAAAGGTGTGTCTACACCTCCTTTATCATTTCATAAAATATCATTCTACATTTTTGTATATTTTGCAATGTTTCCACCATGTCTATAATTTTTACAATATTTCTGACATTTCTGACACGGTTCCTATATTTGGAAGACCAACATTTTAAACTTTGCACTCCAATAGACTCTAGAAAACAAGCCCTTCTCCACCCATCATCTCTATTCTAATAAGACCTTGGAAACACATAAGGCCCGTTCGTTTGCCAGTAAGTCCCCACATTCTTTTGCAGGGAAGTGTAGGGCCCATGGAAAGTGAACTTTCCCTCTGGTAAGTTTTTGGGCCACTTTCCTGGGTGCAGCATCACTAATACAAATGCCATACTTTACCTCTTCAGAGGAAAAAAAGGTAGATTATGTCTCCACATGCATTTTCAATACTCAACTAAGAGCTGTTCTTCATGAATATGTCGACAGATTTAAGGGAGAAAAAWAGAAAATCTTGACATCAAAATTTTTATAGTTCTATACTTCTATTTACTTTTAAGTTCAATTTATAGTTCATGCAAATTAGCCTTAGCGAATGAAAACAAATTGGATAATTATGACAGAAAATAATAATCATATGTTATAGTGCTATGTTTTTTAGACTTTCAGGCAAATGAAATGCCTCAGTTAACCTGTAATATCTGAAAACATCAGCCATAATTAATTGATCGAGAGTCACCAAGTATAAATTTCAATAAGAAGTTGAGATATATTCAGAGCTCTTAAAGCACAAGGACAAAAAAAGACACAAGAAGGTCTTGAACAATGAAAGCATATTTAAAGGACAGAGTAGAATGGGTCTCCTCTAAATTTCAAGAAATTCTAAATTGGTAAAAACCACATTCTTTGTGTAGAAAAGGCAGCAATAAAAAGTCACAGTATCAGTCAACGTATAAGAGCCTAACCTCAACTCTTAGACGACAACCCAGTTCATATTGTGCATCTGGATCACCCATATCTGCAGCTTCCACTAATAAAGCAACTCCTCTATTAAAATGAGAAAAAGGAATATTTAAGAGATTGAAAATTTATTCAATTGAACTGCTGAATATGAATGAAAGGCCTCGGGGGAAGCAAAAGTGACAATAAATCAAGATTTGTGGCATTACAAGCCCACAGAAATTATCATAAACTTATTACTAAAATGAAGGACTCCATAAGAACCAAATTGACAAACAGTAAATTTGCAGGAGTAGAAAATCTACAGAAACATTGCATATCTATTATAAATACTCAACCATTCCGGGTAAATATTTTCTCTAAAGTGTGGTGCAAGATAGTTCCCTCAAAGATTAGATTCCTGCTGTGGGTGGCAGCATTGGAAAAATGCCTCACAAGTCACAACTGAAAACCTTATGAAGTGGAGTGTGGCAGTGGATAATCCAGCATGCAATGTATGAAATAGTTGTATGGAAACAGCAAATCTTCTGTTCCTACATTGTAATTTTGTGGCATCCATTTGGAAAAGAGTGTTAGACAATTTTATGGTTCAAACCTGCTTCCCCAAGTCTATGTTGCAATTCTGGAGGTATGGCATCTTAATAGGTTGGGCAGGGGTGGCAAAGTAATGTGGGATGGTAGCTGTTTTGGGGGGCTATCTGGGGTCAAAGAAACAGTTAAATTTTTTAGAAGAAGCAAGTGACGAAATAGCAGTTGAAGGGAAAGTCAAAGGTTGCTGTTATCTTGGCTGGCCTCAAATTCCTTATTTAAAGGAATGCCATTTGATAAGTTTTCTGGCAGAGGATTTTTATTTTGTAATTAATCAAAGGCTTTTGCAGTAATCTTTTTGTAAATTCCCCAATGTACAGTCTATTGTTGTACATGGGTGCTGATTTAGTTGACAAATACAATCTTACTTTATCTATTCTCAAAAGAAATATTTTCTTTATTTTTAGTTGTAAAATTTATTAAAATGAATAGTGCAGTACAATACAAAAGAAGCATGGTGATGGTCCACAATTAGATAGACGATCACACACACATACACACACACATGCAGAGAGAAGTTAGAGTTCTGTAGGTTTCTAGTACTACAAATCTTGATGTATTGTCACTTACATTTTTGCCTAACAGAATATAGCATACATTCTACTTTATTCCAAGTAGCATATAAATTAATCTCCCAAGTCTAAAAGCTTCACGATATCATAACATCAATGACATGGTTCACTTCATAAATTGATCCAAACTCCCCCACTACTACATGTAAAAATTTACTAAAATTGCAAATAACCACCATATTTTTTATCCAATGAAGATCTAGATGTCCATGGAAATTTCAAGTAGTGATAATATTCAGACTATAGACCATGATAGGGAGCAACAACAACAAAAGGAAGCAAAGAACACTCGACACTGGAGGAAAGAGTTATCCTTACAAGGCTTTACAGGCCCCAGGGACATGATATTTGAGATGAAGTCTGGCCAGCCAATATCTTGCATGGACATTTGAATTATCAGCTTCCAATGCCAATTCGAAATTCTCCTTTGCAGTCTGATGTTGACATACAAAATGTCACGATATTGACCCAAGAAATACTGTAAACTGTAAGCACAAATAAAGCCAGAAACCTCAAGTAGTAATAATAACAAAAATAAGTTCGAACAAACATAAGCATGCATAAGTACTTATCTATTTAAGATTACTTACATATTTATAATTGGCACATCTGCATCAATTTATGTACGTGAATGAGTACAAGTTTGAATGTATTTTGCATTTCACAAGCAAATATAAAATAAAAAATACATTACAAAAGGAAAAAAGAAAACAATAGAGCTAAAATAAGCTCGTATAAATAAAGGGAAAATGAACCAAATTACATGAAAAAATAAATGGGTATAATTTTCCATAAGAAATCTTACTCTCATAAGAGGGAAAAGACGAGGGTCGTTAGGTTCGGTGTAGTCGATGACTCTATCAACTTCCTGTAAAGCATTCCATCCTTTTGCCACGAACTCCATTGCCTTTTTATTTCTGCTGTGAATCTCCCTCTGCAGAATATGAATAGCAAATATAAGCAGGAGTAAATAAACAATGGCAGAAAGAAATAAAGAGAGTGTATTGTTTTTTTCGGAAACTGAGGAAACTACCCGAGTAAACAACTGGTGAAGTAGAAATCTCCTTTTCTGTTGTTGGGCGATTCCATGGTAGAAAGATCTCAACATTCTTTCTTCCTCAATTTTCGTTTTCTTCTCCTTTTCTGTGTAAATAGTTCAGAGGGTAAAGGAGAACTGGATGCTGGAGTGGAGAAGAATCGCGAAAGGAAAAGGCCCCACCGGTTCGAACAAGGTTTATATTTTAGGGATTCCCGAGATTGCCCTCAATTCAAATTACAAATGCCTTCCAAAATCCAAACGTCGCATTCAAGTTACTTCACACTTTCAGAGGACAGATGGTGCAGTTTCATTGGAAATCCAGCAACAGACTTAGGGTATAGGAAATTAGCAGATCCAGAGTGCTTGATCTGAAGGTTACAACTACTGGTTTGGTCACTGGCGGGTGATTATCAGAAATAGACATGAATTCAAATTTTGCAGTCCATTGTCCATACTCCATACAATGAAGTAAGAACGAGCGAGAGAGAGAGAGAGAGAAGCAGTACAGGTATGTGATTTCCGCATAGACATGTCTTTCAGAATCAAAGATGTGGTGGACAAGTTCGGGCAGGAGCTGAAGGAGGCCCTCGATGCAGACATCCAGGCCTGCTGATAGGATCATGAAGGAGAGGGAGATGCAGAGGTAGATAGAAGAGAGGGGAGAGAAGTTGTAGAGAGAGAGAGGCTGCTTGGAAGCTGGCTGAGCTTTCTCTCCGGGAGGTAATTATGAACAATAACAACAACAATAATAACAAGATTCAAATGAAAAATCTCATGTATATGCAGATAACTTATCTTTTTTGTTTTTTCTTCTGTTTTCAGTAGGAGATCATGGGGCAATCTTGCATATTCCATTCATATTTATCACCAGGGATATGGATGGCGTTAGCAGTAATCAGATGCTTCAAGTTGGATGATTGGACAATTGGCGGTTTTTAGATAAAAAAATAAAAGGCAAAAGAGACGTACAATTGCTTTTGCTCTTTCTTTTCTTGTATGATGAGCCAACGAAGTATTGTCTTTCCCTTGTAAATTGTGGCTGGTGCACAAGCTCAGTGATTACTGATTAAAGGGCAAAAGGTGTTGGGATGTTCTGCAGCATTGTAGCTGCAACTGCTAAAGTAAGTATTGGGTGTATCTTATCAGTATCGGGTCATGCGATACCGGCATGGGATACGTTACAACTGGATCATATCGGTCCAATATGCTATCGTGTCGAACCTCAAACCTCAGTTTGACAACAAGCGTCAAAGCGCGTGAGTTCAATATAAAATTTGCTATTAGCTTGACTTGAACGTAAGACCCCAACGGCCAACTCGCCTAGCGTCCAAGAGAGATGCATCTAGCCAACTTTTACTTCATAATACATTAACTTTTATTACACAGATCTACATCAAAACCCAACAATCAATATGCATTTATCTTCAACAATTTCACTTATAAATTAAAARGGAATAATATTTAAAATTAATATTTTATAAATCAATGGAATAAATAATCTATCAAATCCACATTTATATCAAAAAGTTTATTTTTAATTTAAATAAATTTAAAAATATTAGTAAAAAATAATTATTTTAATACTTAAAATTTATAAGTTTGCACATGATATATATTTTATAAATTATAAAAATAAAAATATTAATAATAAAATAATTATTGTAGTAATTAAAATTTATGAATTTTCATATAATATGTATCTTTGAAATTTAAATAGATTTGAAATATTTAAGTTAGGATTATATATTTTTATAAATAATCAATTAATATTTTGGTTTGCATTCTATAATAACATATTTATTGTTTACAATTGTTTACCAAAATTTTGAGAACTAATTTTTAGTTTACATTTTTGTTAATGATAAAAATTCTAGGTAGTAAGATAGAAAAACTGATATAATAATTGAAATATAATAGTTGCATATGTTTTATGCCTTGGACTTTAATATAAAATAAGATAATAATGGCTTTGTGCACATATTAATTTGTAAAAATCTATATAACATGTCTTTTGGAATCTTGATTGATGCATATCAATAGAATTGTATTATATCTATTCATTCTGCTATATTAATTGATATATATTTTTTCATATACACCACCAAAATATCTAATTCTTATATATTTATATATTATTTGTTGCTATTTTGACATTAAACCTATTGTTAGTAATATATTTATGGAATTAATATTCATTTTCCTAGTGTATCCAAGTGTTTTCATGTTTTTCGTTTATATCCATGCGTTTTCAAAGCATATTCGTATCCGTATTCGAGTTATCCGATACAATACTCGATACTGATACTTTAATCCTTGACAAAACCACTATTATTTTTTGGTTCCTTCTTCCTTGGAATGTTGTTGGGTTGTCATATATTGTCCAAGATTAACTGAGTTCCTTTATTTTATTTATTTATTTGTTTGTTTGTTTATTTATTTATTTATTCATACCAAAATGGTGTGGTCATCCCACTATCAAAAAAAATTGAGAATTGGAATATTTCTTTTTGTTATCATCCCATCTCACAACTCAATAAAGGGAAGAATGTTTCCTCTTTTCTCCCTCTTTCCTACAAACCAAATATAGCCCAAGGCATAAAAAGTGAGAAAAAGTTTAAGACATTGTGGTTGCATTTGGAAACGATGCAAATAAGTGTGAATGCAAATATGTAGTGTAAAACGGCTCACATAAATTGCAAAATTGGGTTAGTTTTGCACTAACAAATTTACCTTCTTACCAAACAGACTTTTAGTTGTAATGGATGCAAACTTGAATTCCAGTAAAGATTATTCTTTTTTTTATCAAAAGCCCACTTGAATGCAAATTTACTTCTTTTTTTATTGATGTACTTTCACATCTTATTATCAATGTAAATATGCATTGATCTATCATTTGTCAATGCATAAATGTAATGTTGCCAAACATAGGCAAAAGTGAGCCAGAGTGCCGGGATTTACACTCCATTTGCATCGTTCCCAAACGCAGCCTATCTGTAAATTAAGGCGGAGGTTTTAGATGATTTCCCAAAATAATAGTCAATGAAAAAATAAATAAACGTTTTTATTTCTTATTTGGTTTCAAGTACATCCTACCCATTTACTCACCCCCTATATATTGATTTACCCACTTGTTCATCCCTATATATTGGTATACCAAGACGTCCTTGTAGTTATGCATATTTATTAAGCCCTACCCTTGTTCATCCCTATACATTGACTTGTTTGGTTTGAAGGAAAAGGTATGGAAAGGAAGGAAAAGTAGGGAATCTATGTACAACCTTCAGTGAAAAATGAGAAAAGGCATGGTTTTCTTCCCTGAAAAGGTGGGGGTACCAAGTAGAGAGAATAGAGGAAAGTACCCTCTTGCCTACAACCTTCATTAAAATCTTGAGACCAGTTCCTTGAAAGACAGATTTAGCTAACAAGAGTATTCTTTCCCGTGGCCTAGAAACACTTGAGAGTATCGAGGAAGAATTTATCGTAGGGATTGCAAGGAAGAGCCAGGGGTCCTTTGGTCAATAGTGTTCAGCATTTGTGTCCCACATTCAGGCTTCCCAACAACTTTAGTAGCAGGTTCTAATTGAGCATGTAGAGCAATATAAGATGAGTCTAGCTAGTACCTAGGAATAGGGATGGCTACAAGTCGAGTTCTTCACGAGTTATTCAAGCTAGGCTCGAGAAAAGCTTGGTTCGGCTTGGTTTCAGTCGAGCTTTGAGCTGAACTCAAGCCTAATTTATAGGCTCGTTTATTAATCGAGTCAAGCTCGAGCCTAATAGAACTCGGCTCGTGAGGCTCACGAACCAAGCTCGAATAGCTACATACATACATGCATACATACATACATACATATAATAATAATAATAATAAAATTATAGAAAATAATATATATAATAAATATATTATATATATAATATTTAATTTTATATATAACAATAACTAATTATTATAATTCCTAATTTTTTAAATATCAAATAAAAAAGATTTTTTATATATATATTTTTATTTTTATAAACATTTTTCTCAATTTGAGCTTGAGCCAAGCCAAACTCAAGCTTACGAGCTTTTGACTCGAGTCGAGCATGAGCTAAAGGTTCTAACTCAAATCGAGCTTGAGCTCGAGCCTCGTATTGCCTTGCCGAGCCAAGCTGAGCTCGAATAGCTAGCTATTCAGTTCGGCTCAGCCCGAATCCACCCCTACCTAGGAATCATAATTTTCCATAAGACAAATGAGAAACCTCAACCTTCATTGGATCAGATGGGATAATGGAAATGCATACTAATACATGGGAGGGTTGTGTTTCATTCTCATATCATAGAGTTCACATATTAGCATTTGGCATATAAGATAATTTGCTTTGTAAACTAATGGTGCGSGATCTGGTTGCTCCTAATTGGAGGGCAGCTCAAACATCGATTGCTTAGCTAGCCAGTCGAACTACAAGGAAGGAATACTTAGAGAACCCGGGGTGGCTCACTTGGCGTAGTCACTCCGATGCTTAAGTTAGTATCTTAATGTGTGCAAGTTAAAAGCTTGAGAGTAAGAGAGCTAGAATGTAGTAAATCGCACGTACCTTGGGTCACTGGGGTAGGCGCCCTTATATAGATGAGCTACCGTGGGTCTCGTGAAACACCTCTGAGATCCTCGGCACACGCTATTAGGAGTCCATTCTGCACTGAGAGGTGGATATCATGCTAGCCAATAAAGCTTATCGTGTCCAACCAATCCAGGTGGGATGAGGATAAGACCTACAGTTGTGTGGCGTGATCCCGAAGAGCTCAAAGACAAATAGCTTGCTTCTAGAAGTCCGCTACGTGTCACCTCGGTAGGTTGGGCCATCCCAAGCTACTCAGACCTCAGTCCTGGCTGAGGTGACCTGGCCTACTGAGGTGGCAGGAAATATTGAGTCACTGTCCAGTATCAAGTCACATCCACATGTCCGCTATTTAGTAGGTCGGGCCAAATCACCCCTCATCATAAACTAAAAGTAAAACTAATTCATGGAAATGGAAGAATCCCATAACGTGTCATGATATCGAAAGACTCCGATTTTGATTTACTGGAATCACCATGTAAATCCATTCCTACTTGGATCTCTTGGACAAAACACATAAAGTTGAGCAAATGGGTTTGGGTTCATTAGCAGATACATGAAGCACACGTCTCTTCCCATATCAATGCCATCATTAAAGGCTAAAGCTCAGTTTGCAATCGATGCACCATTGCTTGTGTGGCCAGGAACCACTTTGGCCAGATTCTAGATTTCAAATCCTATGGAATAGGTGTTATGACTATTAATCTTGTTGAAGCGTGGGCTGCCTAGGAAGCCCACAATCTCGCTCTCAACTTCAACGGAAAATCCATCATCATTGAGGGTGACTCCAAGTTAGTTATTAACAGTTTGAAGAACCAAGTGGACCCTCCATGGAGACTGAAAATGATCATTGAAGGCTGCAGGACATTGATCGAGAGGATGGACGATGTCGTTGAATACGAACACACTTACCGAGAGGGGAATCAGGTCGTTGATTGGCTTGCTAACTGTGCTCATTCCAACCTTTCTTCTCTTGCTTCTCTTCCTTTTTCTTTAAAATGTATTTCTTATGCTGACATTTGGGGATGTGCTACCCCCCGTTGTGTGTAACCTCTTCTTCCTTTTGTTTTTGATTTCTTTATTCTTATAAAAAAAAAAGCTCAGTTTGCAAAGAGTATAAATACAAATATATAAAGTACAAATACATATAAAAAACACAAAATGCAAATTTTTGTACTCTACATATTTGCATCTATATTCCTTCAAAACTTAGCCTAAGAATGTTGTATTGATAATTTGCATGTGTATCAAGGTTCAAAATATTGTTACGTATTGGCCCGTATCAGTCGATACGTATCGTATCAGGGCCTTCCCGATATGCCCCTACAGGGGGTGTATCAGGTCAGGCCATGGTTCAAAGGGTAGCTGGGACTTAAACCAACCCCTCATAACCGGTTTTGAAAAAATAAATAAAACACAAAAAAGCACCGATACAGGCTGATACGCTCTACCAGCATATTGGCATGTATAGAGGTGTAAATTGGGTCGGGCTGCCTGCAGCCCGGCACGACACGACACAAAGGCTAACGGGTCATGCCAAGCCCGACAAGGAGGTTTGTGCCGTGCTGGGCCGGGGGTTCGAGGCCCATGGGCCGGCACGGCCCGCCAGGCCCGTAACGAGCCACGCTCGGCCTGCCCAGGAATATAGTCGTTGCCACCCCCAAGGGGCCCAACAACTAGTTTCAGCTTTTTTGGGGGGGTTTACAGAAATACCCCCCCAAGGGGCCCAACGGCTAGTTTCAGCTTTTTTGGGGGGGTTTATAGAAATACCCCCCCCCCCAACAGCTATAAACAACTATATTAGGGGGGTATTTGTGTATTTTGCTTATGGGGGTTGAAAAAATGACATAAATGCCCCCCAACAGCTATATAACAACTAGTTTAGGGGGGCATTTTGGGTAAAGTTATAAGTAACTTTACAATGACCAAAAAAACCCCCCAACAACTAAATAAGAGATAGTTTTTTGGGTATTTTGGGTAATTGAATTATGTTCAATTCCTATAAATAGCCCATTAGCCCTATCCAGCTATCCTCTACCATTCTCATCACACCAATTCAACAATCAGTGAATCAACATTCAATAATTCTCCTATTAAGTTATTATTTATTCTCTTCCTCTTAGTCTCTCATACATTCTCTATAATCTGAGTGAACTCTAATAGTCTCATAGTCTGTTTGGTTGATTGTCTGATTCTTCAAGTTAGCAATTTGGGAGGCTTGGAGCCTTGGACGTTGTCACGTTGAAAGGCTTTAACCGTTGAAATAAAGTTGGGAATATGGGATTCTGAACCGATAATCCGAGATTCCGGGGTAAGTCCAATTAAATTAATTTTATTTTTTAGAATTAAAAAAAAATGGCCAGCTCTTTCCAAAACCCCAAGTTTAGTAGTCCGATTTGGAGAATATTTAAAATAGAGGATGTTGAGGCAAAGGGGAAAAGAGCAATTTGCCAAAAATGTAAAAAAGACTTTAGCTATTATAGCAAGGGTGGTACTGGTCATTTGACCATACATTTTCTCACACATGAGAAGGAAGAAGAAATAACCCACAACTTAAATGAAATTTTGAAATAATATTAATGGAAAATAAATTTTAAAAATATTGGGACTTGGGAGAAGTCAGATTCTCGGAGAACATTTCTCGCCGTCAATCCCGCCGTGGCACGTGATCCGTGATCTACTAACCCCTTCGATGTCTACAAGCTATGGTTCCATTGGAGTCTTGTTTAGTTGTTTTAGTGCAGGACCTRCAGGTACCACACTACGACACTACCACTATACCAACCTACCAAGGTTGGCTAGATGCAATTATGAATCATGATGCAGAATATAGATTACAACTTTACAATTACAAGACAAAGGAGGGCATGATACTACAGACTACTACAATACTACATACATCGGATATTTGGTTTTTCACCTGAAGCAAATGATGAAAGTGTGTATGAATGCTTTCATCATAATGTATATGTAAATTTTGTTTAAATTGTAAATTTAAACAAATAACCCACAATTTTTTATTTTTTCAAATTATTATAAAATTTGTTTTTGTTTTATTTAATTTATTTGCTATTAATGTAATTTTGTATTTTCAATTTGTAACTATATAGTCTATATAGTCTATAATTATATATTGTATTTTTTATATTTTATTAATTTATTCCATTTTCATATTTCATTCATCCAAGTATGAAGTTTATGAAGTATCCAACAATTGTATATTTCATAGTTTCAATATTTGTATAATTGTATGATTTGTAATTTGTATCATTATTCATTCAAATTTAAATGAAATAAAATTCTTAAATTCCTATTTGAATTGTTTTATACTTTTATTTATTTATTCTTTGGGTTATTGGGTAATCATAAATTTGTTATTAATTTATTATTCATTTGCTGCCCCGATTCCTGAATCCTGATCCAGTGATCCTGAATCTCTGATATGACAATAATCCATTCAATGAGTCTATCCCAATTCGCCCCAGGCCCAAGGCCCGCCCTATGACCCTGCCCGACACGACCTACAGCCCAGCCCGACCCAGGCCCATAGCACGACACGAGCCCGCCTAGGCCTGGGCTTGGACCGTGCTAGGCTAACCTCCAAAATTTAAATCGGGGAGGGCGGCACAACCCATGATGGCCTGCGGACCAGCACGGCATGGCCCACCTTTAGCGTGGGCCACCCACGGGCCGTGCCATGCCAGCCCGACACGGCCCACTTTACACCTCTAGGCTTGTATCGATATTTAGAACCTTGATGTGTATCTAGTGTGAAAATATATATGTAGAAAAATTATTAGTATAAAAAATAATTTAAAATAAAACCAAAGGAAAAGTGACATTATCAAATATAGATTTTTTTCAAAACCCTAATGTACAAATATTATTATATCTTCGAAGAATAACTGTTTAGATGATAATTATTCTAATCAATAATTATTAATAATATACAAAAACAAATAATTTAAAGAGTGGATAATCACTTCCAATAGTTGGGTAAGGGTAAGCATTATTTGTCTTTTACTTTTTACTTTATGATAGAGTTTTCTCTTGGCTTCTACAAATAACAAAAAAAAAAAAAAAAGTTCTTATGGTTAGTGGCAATATAGCGATAATTATATAAAGAAAATAAAACCATTACTTCTCTAGGAAATTAGCAACATAGCGACGATTATCCACCGTCACCTTCTTTGTCTAAGAAATTATCAAAACATTTTTCTCTTGTCATAGTCATTTAGATCAGAAGTTGTCAACATTAATGCCAAGTTTGCCACGTTGTTTCTCTTTTTATTTATTTTACTATCTAAAATTAAAAATCAACAACAATAATAAATATTTTTGAGAAAGCCAGACAAGAATCAATAAGGTATAATAAAGAATCTACAACTGTACATTTAGAAAGCATAAAGTAGAAAAGCCTTACAATATTTCTGATAAAGAGATGCTCAAATCAAGCTTGTATGGCTCTTCAAGATACAGTCTGTTCCAAACTTAGTTGATGCAATGATGTTCAACTTTGTTGTATGGGTTTCAATTCAATCCTTCACAACATTATCTTCTTCTTTTTTTTTTTTAATTTTACGCATGACAAGCTAATCTATATATAAATTCATTTTTACTTGAATTACCATTAATTTGGTCCAAAAGTTATGGATAAAACCAAGGTTCAACATACTATTCCCCTATAGGGGGAGTATCAGGTTAGGGCATGGTTCAGAAGATAGTCGGGACTTAAACCAACCCTTTTGAACCAATTTCGAAAGAAAATAAATATAACACAAAAAAAAAATACCCATACAGACCAATACGCCATATTGACATTTAGAACCTTGGATAAAATCATAAAAATATAACAATTGATTAAGAGAAGCCCGCAAGCCTTATACCTGAAATTTTACATATCAGAATTAAATCATAGGGTCAAACACTCAAACTTGCAATTGCAGTATTCGTATGATATATCTTCCTAGAATTAAATCACGGTACTAATGGGAGTCATGCAGAGAGAGAGGATTTCATCATAGTATAAACCACGTAGGAGAAAGGAGAGAACATTGGACGTGAATGCAAGCATTGAAATTAGAGGATTTGTTTTTGGTAAGGAAATTAGAGTATGTAGGGGAGGGCAGTATCAGTGTATATATATATATATATATTTTTTTTTTACTTTTTTTTTTCAAATCCAGTTCAGGAGGGCCGGTTTAAGGTTCTCCACCACTGAACCGGTCAAAACCCTGATACATTCTGTAAGGGCATATCGGTGTGCTCCCAGTACAATAAGTATTGGCTGATACAGGACAATATGTAACGATTTTTTGAACCTTGCCTGATAGATTTCGCAACGAGTGAGATTTAGGATGAAACAGACCGCAGTATTTGATCAAATAAAAAGACCCCTCTGAAGTTTTTGGAAGCTGAAAAGGTGGTATACAATTTGCTCTATAATATGTTGCCATTTCCTTGCTTTTTTCTCAACCAAAGAAAAAACAAAATCATTTCCTTACCCTTCAAATTCTTCTTACTACTGACTGGATGACCACCAGTTTCCCTAGAATAAAAACCGCACCCCGCATGCCTACCAACTCCATTAGAAACTGCAAACAAGAAAACAAGATGCTACCTACTACAACAGTAACAACACTTGTTCAAATTCAATTTAATGCTAATTTGAACAAACTGAAAATCTATGAATCTGTTTTGATGGCAACCTGATTAATGGGATACATTGTCATGTTGATAAATGCTGTCACTTTAAGTAACCACTAAGATCAATCGGGTTGCAGTTTTTCTACCAGTAGACTACTGGCTTAAGGACCCTCTTCTCTCTTGACTCGAGGACCTTCCCCTCTCCTGGCTCAAGGACCTTTCCCTCTCTGGTTTCCTTGTGTACTCTTCTGGGCTTCGGCTTCGGCTCCTACTTGGACCATGGCTACGGCTCCTTGAACCATCATAAGGAGAATGAGAGTATGATCGCTCTCGACTGTACCTTCTAGCTGGAGGTGAAACTGATCTGCATCAAGTAACAAGTTTTCTGTTAAGCAAGACAAATACCATGTTAAGCTAATTAGCACACAAGCAGAAACCAATAAAGGAATGCATACCTTGAATGCCTTCGCCTAGGGGATGGAGAATCGTAACTAGGGCTACGTGAACGAGATCTTACTCGACGCGGTGATCGGGAGTAGTGTGGGGAGCGGGAATAACGAGGAGAATGCCTGTGGTCATTTCGACCCCTGTAAAGAAGAGTGTGACCACATAAGCAACCTTTGAACAAAAAAAATGGGGTAGAAAGTCTAAGCACATGCATCTTTTTAGTGCCAATTTCTGGAGTTGCAATTCAAAGACAGAATTTCAGAATCAACCTTAAGGAAGAGTATGACTTCTTTGCTCATCGAACACCATTCAGTAAAATTATAATTTTTTCTCATAAAAAAATATAATTCATTGAGTTGGGCCCAATGCAAGTCTTGTTGTTGGTTTCCAGTTTGATACAAATCTCTGTGAATACATTCTTTCCCCTTTAAACTGATTTGCTTACAATATCCCAGATAATGCAATTAAAACCCCATCTTAAACCTAGCCAACACCCACTGTTTCCCTTAGACACTAATAACAACCTCGCTTTGATCTCTAGATAAGATTTTTCATCCATTTTCTATTGGTCTAGCATCATCATCCTATTTATGACACTACCTGACGACCTTTGTTAATGGTACTAGCTGATAACTTTGTACATTTCCACCTGACATGCCCACCCAGCCATTGTAGTAGTAGTGGCAGTGGTGGTGTTTTTTTCGACCAAGAATTTGTTTCTGGTTGTTTTATGGCCATGGGTACTTATAGAAGAGTAAGATTTCCAGCCTACAAGCCAAGGTTGGTTTAGAGCCACGGGTGGTTGCAGAGGTAGACCCTGAAAAGAACAAAATTAGTAACCACAAGACCACTCTTTTCCTCATGACAAGTTTCTTCTGAAGTTCTTGAATGGTTTGCAATAGCCTCCTTGCATAAAATTACCCTCTAAAAGTGCATCTGTCTGCGTGAGGTCCTAGAATGTGGGCAACATGTTATTCTTCCAGAATCCAGATTGGGAAGATGTGATGGCAATGATTGATGATGGAGATGAACGAAGATGAATACATTCACTGCAAAGTGGAAGATGATGGTGCTTTAGGGTAAATCCCTTGCCTCCTCCCCTGAGTTTTCTGAAATGGCCTTAAACCTCCCCTCAACTTTGACCTGCCCTTGAACCTCCCTTGACTTTTGGGCAGATTTGAGTAGCCTCGGCTACCCCACTCAAACTTAAAGAATACAGATTATGAATTCCATTAGACCGTTACTTTACTGTTAGAAATCTAACAGCAGTAGCTGATGTCATGGATTTATAACATATTATAATGCCAATTTTACCCTTATGTAAAATCATCAAATGTTTGATAACTGAAATGCCATTAAACCACTAACCAAAAAACCCTTAAATCTTTAACAAAAAAAAAAGTAAAATACCTTTAAACCTCTCTTTACCTTTTTTTATCAGCAGAAAAGGTATTTTATTAAATTCATGAAAATGGAGCTAATAGATTCAATTAACAGGGCTGCCAACCCAAAGCTAGAACAGTTTTACATAGTAGCCCAAAACAGTTGCTGCCTCAAAGTCCCTGTTGCAGCATTTAGGTCCTTTGCAATACTTTCCATTAACAGGGCTGATGTCATGAATTCCATCAAATGTTTGCTGTCCTTCTCACTCACCTGAAGTCAGCATTTAGGTCCTTTGCAATACTTTACACTTCCCTAAATGCATGTCTGAGAGTCCAGGGAATGTGCCTGTTGCAGCTTGCCCAGGAAATAATTAGATCTGAGTCCCCTTCCGTGTCCACCTGCCTATAGCCCAACTGTTTTGTTAATCTCTTAGACCCTGCAGCAGATGATTTAGTTTTTTTAAAGGGTTTCCCATTCCAATAGGCCCTGAGTAGACAATAATAATATCCTACTTTGAGAGCTCCTGAATGCACCTCCAATTCCTGCCATACCCAGATTTCTAAAAGAGCTTCCACCAAAGTTCAGTTTTACTTTGTTGCGTTCTGGAGGTTTCCAATCCATCATTATCCTATCTTTTACTCTAGAAGATTGTGCCACCTCAGTCCAGACTCTTATTATATCATTTACAGAAAAATTCTGAAAACTTTCGGTTACTTTCCAAGGTTTTTACTCAATGTACAACTTTTATCTTTATGCTGTCTATTGCCTTTACAACTCTCCACAAAAAGGAACCTATCTAACTTAGAGTAAGAAGGGAGAGATTGAAAATTTGACCATGTAAAATCAGGATGCAATAAGGGGAGTTCCTTCAGCTCGAGAGAGTCTACAAGTCCATTAAAATTCCATGTGCTAGTGGTTATGCCCTGATTTGGATTATTTGATTCTTCCAGTAATTGTATGACATTAAAATCCCCTCCCAGACACCAAGGGCCTTCCCATAAGCCTCTAACTGAAGAAAGCTCCTCCCTAAACAGATTTGTATCTCTATAAGAATTAGGACCATAGACATTAGTTAAGGCCCATTCTCTCCCATCAGAGGATCTCTTGGTTTTTAAAGAGATGGAAAATTGGCCAACCAACTCCTCCACACATTCCAAATTCTCATTCCTCCAAAATGTAAGAATTCCCCTTGAAGCTCCCCAAGAGGGGGCAAAAGCCCAGCTAAGCCCCCCTAGCTCCACAGGTGCTTCTGATCCACCTTCTATCTAATTCTAATAATTTAGTCTCTTGAATCATTACCAAGTCTTCCATCCCTTTCACAATTCTGTGGGCGGTATGGCTGGCAAGGAATAACAGGACATTTGAACATAAAGCTTCTTCTGAAGCTGAGGTCATCAATATGGCTATAGGGTTTATTAGGAGTTGGTTGTCTATACATACTGTGTTTAAAGATGACATGTCAGATAGTATTTTGTCAAGGATGGCCTTTTTTTTGAGGTCCAATCTGTCAGCTACTTGTACAGATATTCATTGTACAAAGGACCTTTTACTTTAATACAATCGTACTTTAACTTTTCTCAAGAAAAGAAGAAAGCAATCACTACCAAGTTTGGCCTTTCTTTCCTAATGACACTTATTATTCTTCTTTACTTCGCACTTCCTAACCTCTCACATGCCAACTTAGGATCTTCATTGAATGAAACTAAAAGGCCCAAAACATTCCTTTAATTTTAGCAAACCATTTTCCTTTCTCCTACTCTCCTTTTCATAGGCTATTCCACATTTATGTTTTTCAATCTCACTCATATTTCTTTTCCTCTGTTTTCGTCCTTTCCTCAAGTACACTTTTGTTTCCCCTAAATTCTTTTCAACTTTCTTTCCTGCCCTTTCCTCTTGACTTTCTTCTTGTACAACTGGACCAGATCTCTCCAAAACAAGGGAAGTTGTTTGACTGGTATCCCACACTTGAAGATCAAGTTTATTTACCCCAACCCCTTCTAAACTCTTCTCAACAACCAAGGCTGATAAACCTTCTGGTATTAGATTCATTGTTTTTCCCATTTCTTCATCTAGGTCCTCATAATCAGAATTTTTCCCACACCCAATCAAAGTGGCAATTGAGTTGAGAGCATTCTGGGATGGCAGAAAATAGGCTGGACCTGCAACAACAGAGGAGAGACAACAATAGGGTGAGCATCAGAAAAGTGCAGGTTATAAACAGGAAGAGAGCAAGCAGGAGGAAGTAAAGGGGAAGAGACTCCACGCTCCAAATTTTCGTAAGCCTCTCCTTGATCATGCTCTGCCAAGTTCTTTAAATGGATAGCATCCACCGACTGTTCCTCCTATGCTTTCATGCTCCAGACATTGCTGAAACCCAAATCCCAAGTACCGATACCCTGATCTTGTGCCTCTACTAGTTGTGAATTCTGTCTTCTCTAAACCACAAAAGAGACCACCTCGCACACAAAAGCAGGTAATTCAAGGCTAGCTCCCATCTGTTCTAGAGAAACAGTGTTTGAGGATTCTCTGAATAGATATTCTGTTCCAGAGGCTCATCCTCCATCTTATAGGCTTTAGTAGAGTCAACACTACCAATACTAGAAGGCCGATCCACCTCAACACAACCATCTATTTTTTGAATAGATGGTCATTTCATCAGTTTAATGAACAACCCTAGCTGAAACTAATTATTGTTATTTTCTTATTGTAAAAAATTATTAAAAATAGTATATAAAATCTAAGGGAAAATCTATGATACAGGAAAGATAAGGTATCGGAAGAGTTTTGACCAATCAAAATCCACCCATGAATTTTGATAAATAACACCTGATTGGCTACCACGTTTATGATACCAATTGATTGGTCAAAAATTTCAGATATCATATCTTTCCCATATCATAGTCGAACCCAAAATATAAATAATTATTAATTATTTAAAATTTTGAAAATATAAGACAATTGTATAATCTTATGTTTCTATTGTTTAGTTTTTGCTTAACAAATCCCGTGCATCACACGGGTCCCCACTCCCCATTAGTTTCTTATGAAATGAAGACGGAGGCTCCTTAAAAGTAATGAAATACTAATTACATATTTACCCATATTAACAATTCAAGGGTAAAGTTGGAATCAGAAAAATCCACTAACCTGATTGGAGGAATTAGTATGGGCATAATAGGCTACAGGCATTTAATAATGCCTCTATCCACTTAAAAGTAATGGAAGGGGTCTATGCGTCCCTTTATCCCCAAAAGTCAGGGGAGGTTTAATGGCAGGTGGTCAAGGTTGAGGGAGGTTTAAGGCTATTTTAGAAAACCCAGGGGAGGTTGAAGGGATTTATCCTAGTGTCATGCATTTTCCACAATTTTCTTTTGCTATCAAAATTCTGCAAACTTTGTAGCACAATAATTTTTACAAGTAATGCTACACTATTGGGTAGTATCTTTGTTACTTGCCTATGATTGATGATGATCTTTGTTACTTGCCTAAGAGAAAGTCTATGAGACAGCATATATGGAATTGCACATTAAGTTAATGACAAACAGGTATGTTAATCAGGGTCTAATCAGAAATGGTGATGGCCTAAAAACAGAAGACCAAGTTTACCTCAATCTTTCCCTTGCTCTCATTTCAGTTGGCTTCTTTCTATTCTCCTCTGCAAATACAACTGTCAGTTCCCTTCCATGAAGAATCTGTCCATCCATTTGATATTTGGCTTCTGCAGCATCAGCAGGGTCCACATATTGGACAAACCCAAACCCACGTGGTTCACTGCAACATAGACAAGTTTAGTATCACAAAGAATGGTCATATAATCACCAATTACTATGGTGGCAGTATCTGTGCATGTAAAAAAAGTTTGATGGGTGAAATCACCAATGTAACCCTGAGAAATATGGAATGCAAGTACAAGGTACTTTATGCAATTCAAGTAAAAGCAAGCACATGGCTGCTGACCTTGCAAATGTCAGTTTTAAGATGACTTCAAATTCTTCAAGACTTGAACATCTTCAAAATGTATTCAAACCCACCTCTCTTCCAATCTTCACAAACATTAACATCTTCAACAGAACTCTTATTACTTGATTGATGTCTTCAAAACTTTATTTGAACTGTTAAACCTCAACAACTTTAATAAAAAGATCCAACTAGCTAATAAAAGAATAAACAACAATCCTCATCATTACAATAGTAATATAGAATAGGAAACAGGGGCAGGGAGATGGGCACCCCAATTTCATTCAATACAACACATATTTACCAAAACCAAAAAATGAAGGTTTTTAAAGTTTCCTAATGGATGAAATAGGAAACTTCTATAGGAAATAGACTATTTTACCCACATGGAGTAATCTTATGAGGATTGGCCGTGTCATATATCCCACATTCCACATCATCCATACTCCAGCCTTGGATTTTAATCCTATTTGAGAAATAAAAGCACTCTATTTTTCCAATATTTAAATATAGAAAGTTGCAATGAGCTTTAACTAGAACATGTGTCTATGTCTTCTCAGCAGAAACATTTTCCTCAACTCAAGGGCAAGGTAACACAGAGACTCATTTTCAAACCCAAAACCCTGTACAAGCTGAGGTATGGGGCAGATGTAGACTAGGGGAATGAGCATGTGGCCAATCCAGTGGATCCCCTATCTGATAGAAAGTCTGGATCACCCACATAATCTCCCCAGTGATTTAAAAGGCATGCTTGAAGTGCACCTAGGCCCCAGGCGCAGCATTTTCAAAAGACCCTCCTGGTGTGACACTGCCTAGGCGTGCACCTGGTGTGCCTTGCATTTCAACCCAGGCATGTGCTTTGTTTATTTTTTTTGTGCTTTCCATTCTTTTTTGAACCTAGCAGCTGACCCCCCAACCAAGCACCTTCCCCCTATTTTCTAATGTTGTTCATTCATTCATCCTAATAAAATATCTTCTTAAAAGGCAATAAAAATTATAAAATCATTTTTGTGTGTAGAGATTAAGAATTTAAAACCTTAACAGACTTGTTTGAGATTGTCTGCAATTAGGAAAGAAAAGAGATTGGGGGTTTTACAAGCTTGAAATTTGACTTTATTTTTAAATTTTTACTTCAATATGTTTTACATGCTATGCTTATGTATTTTAATTTTAAATAATAGGTTTTTAAAACATTCATTTTAAAATCTAAGTTTATACTTATAATTAATATTATGTTTAATAATTTATTTTTATTTTTATTTTTTACTTTTTTGCATTTCTGTGTCTTGCTACAAAAACACACACCCATTGCCTTGCCTTGCTCTTTGGGCACAAATTGCCCCTTGCACTTTTAAAACACTGGACCTCCTCACATGGCAGAAGTAGGTGGGGCGGTGTAGGGAAGCTCCCTACTTAACCCAAATAGGAAAACTTTTTACTGTACATATACAAAGATACATAAAAAAAGAAAAAGAAAAAGAAAAAGGAGGTAAGACCAAAATTGACAGCTTCCAAAATACTTCAGTTTATTGTAGCTTAACAAGAATATCTCACCCAGTATAATAATCTCGAGGCAAGTAAACGTCCTTGAGAGGACCAAATTGTCCGAATGGCTTACGTAGGTCTTCTGGCCTGCAGAACAAGTCAGCAACATAAATACAAAGCTAAACAATATAATAAATTTTGCAACCTAATACAAAATGATGTGGTTTATCAAATAGTTAATAATGTTCATGCCTAAAAGGTATCAGGTGGTTGAACTCAAAATGCTTTCTCTGACTAAAACATATAAAATTATAAACATACAAAAATGCAGTATTTCAAAGACACCTCAAAATTAGTGATTCTAGTTGTGCCAAGGCTTGGGACATAAATGCTAAATATTTTTTACCAATAACTGCAAATTCATTAAATAATAAAAAGTATGTGTACAGAGTAAATACAAAGACTGGGAGATGAGATCTCTTATTTCTCCCTGAGCATTATTTTACAAACAACACCCAGAACAAATTATCTCTTCCGGATTCATTAAAAAAAAAAAAAACAAATTTTCTCTTCCAGGGTTGTGAGAGACATGGATGGCAAACTGTTAGCCTTGTTCTCTGGCCCAGTGGGGATTGGGAACTCTCTCAAGGCAGAATTACTTGCTGCCTTACAAGGAGCACGAATTGCTAATGAATTGAATATAACCAATTTGGTGATTGAAGGGGACTCAAAACTGCTGGTGGGTTGGTTAAATGATCCAGATCCTGTAATATGGTGTTACAGGGATGAGATAAAAAAGTTTTTATGGATCACCAAGGATATGACCTTGAGGATAGAATGGGTGAGGAGATCGGCTAATGGGTTAGCTGATAACCTTGCCGACAAGGGGTGAATAGACAATCTTTGTTTTGGGCCCACCTGTAATATTTTTGTAATAGTTAATGTTCTGTTTTTGTTTATAGAGAGGTAGCATCTCATGCCTCTCTAAGAGATGCTTGTAATGCCTATAGCTTCAGAATTAATAAAATATATTCTCATTTATCAAAAAAAAATAAAAAAAAAAACAAATTTTCTCTTCTCTCCCCTTGCATTGCCAACACATCTGAGAAAAGGAGTTTGCACTTCTCTTAGTCCATTGTACTCTCACTTCCATATCTTTGGTCAACCGTTTAAACTTTTTCTTCTCACTGTTGTAATTCCACAGCTTCATTTCTGCACTTTTTAACCACTCCACTACCAGTTTTGAGTCTCCTTCAATAGTTAATTTCCTAATGTTCAACAGTTTTACCTTTTGTACTCCTATCATAGGGATTTGGATTTACCGTTTAGCAAATTTTAACCCCTATAACAAGATAACCATTTCTATCATCAGTGCATCACCGTGCTCCAGTGGTCCTGAATAAAAAGCCACCACTCTACCACTCTTCCTTCTGAATTCCTGAAGACCCCCTACCCAAATCAATCTCATATTGCCTATGAAAGCTTTCATCAAAGTTGAGCTTTAGGGAGTTACATGCCAGGGGTTTCCATACCATAACTTGTCTTTCCTTTTCTTGAGCCAAGAGTGCCACCTCTTTCCAAGTACTCAAAATATTATTCAGAGAGAAATTTTGGAAAGCCTCCATAGTTTTCACCAAGTGTGCAGCCTTTATTTTAATTAAGCCAATAATTTCCTCCTCGGTCCTGCTCTTATCGTTAAAAAATCTTCCATTCCTTTCTTCCCAAATGGTCCAAACTGCAGCTGCCCTCGCTGCTTTCCAAAGTAATYTTCTTCTTTTCTTTGGTTGTCTCAGGAAATTAGGATCAAAGAGGCCCACCACATCTTGAGGAGGTCCACTTGCACCCAAATACAAAGCACAAAGGAACTGAATATAAATATATGGCCAATAGTCTCACCATTGTCCTTGTAAAAGAAACACATATGGGGGGAAAGGCTTTTATTCAGCCTTCTTTTCTGCAGCACATCACAAGTTTTAGTCTTTCCCAGAAAGCAGTGTTTTAAAAGCGCAAGGCGCAAAAAAAATGCAAGGGCCAATTTGCGCCTGAGGCGCAAGGCACAAGGCGAGGTGCGTGCCTTTTTAAGAAAGGCACAAAATTACCAAAAAAGAAAAGCTAAAAAATCAAAGAAAAAGTCAGAAAATTCCAAAAAAAATGCCAAAAATTTAAAAAAAAATGCAAAAATATTAAAAAATAATAAACATAAAGTTAATAAAAATATAAACTTAAATTTTAAAATAAATTATTTAAAAAACCTATTATCTAAAATTAAAATACATAAACATAACATGTAAAGTGTATTCAAATGAAAACTTAAAAATAAAAGAAAACATATAAAGCATTTTCAAGCATGTAAAACCCACAATCTCTTTTTTTCCTTAATTGCATTGCTTCAAGTAGTTAATGTGATGTAAAACATATTGCATTCTTGATTCTATGAGTCGCCTCTATAGCACGCCCATCAAGGCAAGCCCGAACAAGTCTATGTTAGGGTCTGAAATTCTTATTTCTCACATAAAAAATAATGATTTTACAACTTTCATTGCCTTTTAAGAAGATATTTTATTGCAATGAATAAATGAATAACATAAGCAATTAGGGGGTTCTCGGACTGGGCTGAGGCGCAAAATAAGGGGTTCTCGGACTGGACTGGGCTGTTAGACTTAAAAAACAGCAAAGAGCGCAAAATTTTAAAAAGGTGCATGCCTAGGCTGAGGCACAAGGCGCATCGAGCGCACACCTAGGCACACCAGGCGCGCGCCTTTTGAAAGAGGTGCGCTTAGGACCTGGGCGAGGCGCATACCCCAAAATGCACCTCGCCTGTGCGCCTAGGCGTGCCTGAGGCGCGCCTTTTAAATCACTGCCAGAAAGACCTCCCGACAAAGGGCCTGAACTTGAGGAGAAATAGACTTGCTCGAAATTTCTTTCACCAAGAAATTAACCCCAGGGATTGGGCTGTATTAAGAAATTGAAGAAGGAAGCACAAGTGAAAGAACCAAATGAGGAGATTGACCACACCCTAGTGTCCTCCAAAGATAGGTCCAAAAAAACTGACTCCAACATAGCCAACAGAAGGATGCAAGATTCGCATTCCAAGTCCCTAAGACCTCTTCTAAATCCAAAGTCTCAACTTATGTCCAAGTCAAAGAAAACTACAAACTTTGAGATGGATTCAGATTTGTAGTTGGAGAGTGCATAGAGCAAAGGAAACTAGAGTTTTAAAGAAATATCACCCAACCAGAGAACCTCCCAAAACAATACTCTTGGCCCATTCCTCACATCATAACTAATAAGGTTAAGAAAGAAGGATATACCTTGTTAATTGCTTTCCAATGAGAGAATAAGGTTGCAACTGAAGCTACCTTTGCATCCCAACAATTGTTCAACTGTCCATGTATGTTTCTAATAACCCTGTGCCAGAGTCTTTCTCTTTCTTTCTAAAAAGAATCTCCATAGCCATCTCCCCAAAAAGAGTTAGATTCTTCTGAACCAAGTTCCCTAACCCTAGCTCCCCTTCTCTTTAGGCCTGCTAACTTGTTCCCATTTCACTAAGTGGTCTCTCTTCTCTTCCCTTGGTTCCTATAAGAAATCCCTCATAATCTTTTCTAGCTGCCCAGCAATTTTAACAAGGATGTAGTAGAAAGAAAATAAACTAGGAGATTTTCCATAGTGGCCTTGATCAAGGCTCTTCTTCCTCCCATTGAAATATAATTTCTTTTCCGGGCTGCCAGATTCTTGGCAAATCTCTCCTTTGCATTGTTGATCGTTGAAACATCAAGAGAGTAGCCTTTGAAATCTAGAATCTCACGCCTATGGTTCCTGGCCAATGCACCAATAGTACACATACCATTGCTACGACGAGAAGCATCAAAGTTAATTTTAATCGACCCAACTTCACGAGGGATCCACTTAATGTTCTTCCAATTCTTTATTCCAATTATTGAAATTGGGTCGTTTCTCAACTCTATGAATTCCTTGAAAGCCAAAGCCGCTCTATCAATAATCATTTGGAGGGGCACTAAAGTACCAGCAAAGATTTTATTATTTCTATTCTTCCAAATCTGCCATAAAATAAGAGCACATCTCTCTTTCATATTTGTATTGTTTTTAATGTCCTCATATGAATTTTAACCCACCATTCTGATTGGTTGTTAATAAATTCCACGAGGCTAAGAATGTTGTTATCCACTACCGACCACACTTGTCTAACAAAATCACAACTCTGAAAGATATGATCAAGATCCTCTTCCTCACCACAAAAACAACACCCCCCCCCAATCAATATTAAGACCCCTATTTCTTAGGAAACCCTTTGTAGGAAGTCTACCTTTGAGAAACAAACATAGAAAAACTTTAATTTTCAGTTGGCATTTAATGTTCCACACCATTGTTCCCCAATTGAAGTTTTCATTTCCATTTTGAAATATGTTACATTTGAATTTGTAAGTCAACTTTATAGAAAATTTTCCGTCTRGAGTCATTTTCCAAATAATAATATCCTCTTTTTCATCAGTGATTATAAAAATTGGTTTAATTTTTTCCCAAACACCTTGCAGCACCAGGGACTTAATTTTGTTTTCCATCCAAATCTTTCTTTCTTGGTCAATTACCTCCCCAACATTCATATTTTCTGATTCTTGAAAAGAGGCTTCAGAGCAATCCGCAAGGGAATCATTCCCAACCCATCTATCTTTCCAAAAACTAATGGACTTACCATTTCCTATGACCCAGCCAAGACCTTTTACCAACAGATCTCTCGAAGCAAGGATCCCTCTCCATGCCCACGAGACATCCTTTTTACACCTAACATTAAGGAATTCCTCTCTTCTAAGGTATTTTCCCTTAACAACCTTAACCCATAAGTTATTTTTCTCATTAAGAATTTTCCATCCTAACTTTGCTAAATTGGCCTCATTAACCCATCTAAAACTTGAGAAGCCAAGACCACCCCAATTCTTTGGACAACAGGCATTAGGCCAACTCAGAAGGTGAAGAGGTTTTCTGCCACTAGAGTTTGTCCACAAAAAAAAATATATATATATATATATATATATATATATTTGCGCTTTATCAATATCTTCAATGATACTTTTAGGGAGCCTAAAGGATCTCATGATGAAATGGGGTATTGTGCTTATAGTTGCCTTTTC